GACCCATTCTGTACCTGTTTTTTCATATCGGTGTTTTGTATTTATGGATTTGATGAATGCTCGGGTGTTAGCCAGGGACTGTTCAGTCCTCTTAAGTTTCATTGTTTAGTTTTTTTAGGGCAGTGCTTGTTATAAAAGGTATTGGGTCTTATTTTTTAGAATATTATTTTAAAACAATTCGTCAATTTATGTATAGATTTCTTGGCTCATGTGTGCAGTCCAAGGTTTGTTACTGCTGTTGTGAAGTTATTAATGGCTGCCTCATTGTGACGTCCGATGGTGATTTAGTAGTGTCTTGGGGTATTTTACCAAGAGATGCTATGAGGAAAGTCTTGCGGTAGTGGTCTGTGGTTTTATCTGTAATTATGCCTGATTTATTTAAAGGGGATTTGGTGTTGGTCCAGATGTGGGTCAGTAGGGAAACACGAGTCTCGTAACTCTTGTAGGTTTTGTTACTGTTGGTAGCACATGCGTTACCTCATTGTGGTTTGTGAATTCAGTACGTGTGGTCCTGGTCTTGCAGGAGATTTATATTGATGTCACCTGAGAGTAGTAAGTGATCTTTGTTTCATGCGTGCATCAGTTCATCATACTTCCTAGGTTTTGACTAAATTGGTAATGTTTGATGTGGAATTCTGTAGATCGCTTTATCACTGTGAGAGGTTTTTGTAGGTTTTTGGATTTGAATTTAGCTATAATATATTCCACTTGTTAATCCCCTTGTGCAAGTATTAGTGATACATTCTAGTTGGTACTCCTGAGCAGTATATAGCTGTGCCACCCCCTTGTTGGTTATGGCCTATCAGTTGTGTATGGATTGTAAACAGGAATGGCATAGACATCTGTAGTATAGGCTTTAGCCAGGTTCAGTTAGTTGTAATGATGGACTTATTGGCATGCAAGGCAATTTTCAGTAATGCTATGAGTTTTCATAATGCTTGATAAAGATTGACTATTGTAGTTAAAGATAGTTATGTTGTTGATGGATGAAACAAGAAGGCAAAGTCTGATGATAGAAACATGCTTCGAGAAGGAGAGAGATATTAAAGAACATTATGATTGGTAAACCACTTATTTGGATGTGGATACGGGTGCAGTGTAATGCAGCGAGGTATGACTAAAGTTTGACAGCTACGGAATATCATTGCCATAGAAGAAGGGCACTTTCATTAAAGGTCCCATCTCGAGTAAGATGGCGAAGGAATCAATAAATTATAGCCTGAGATGGTTGGAAAACTGCTGAGTGTACATTTTGGTTTTGTAAGCAAGCACAACCACCCAAGGGAAAACCTGGAAAGCACACAGCCTGAAGCTCACCCCGATTTCCCCCTGAGGGCATGCGGATATTCCACTGAATTAGGCCATGAATGGCGACGATGAGAAAATACCAGGAAATCTGATAGGTAAAGCACCTACGGACTAGAGGGGTTAGAAAAGTCAACGTTTGGTGGCTTTGGAAGACGTTCAAGTAGCGAAGGAACGGAGCATTGCGATAGAATGGGGTTATGAAGATGAGGAGAGGGTAGAGAAGGAAAGGAAGTGAATCAGTGTCCATTGAAGGTTTAGTCTCTGCAATATATTCTGAAATGGACTTCAAGTGTTTCTGAATTAGAAAGATGTATGGGAGACCATTTGGGAGTTGAAGGAGGAGGGTGAGTAAAGATTGGGACAGTAATGGACTGTACCAAAGTAAGAGGGGGAGGGAAGAGTGTAAGGAACTGGAGATGAAGTGTGGGGCGGGGGGACAGGAAGAGGCCAGAAACCTGTGGGGAGGTGCAGAAGGAGGAGAAAACTTTGGGAGGGCGAGGACAGGGGTTGGAAGGCATTAGTACGAGGAGGAGGGGTGAATCTCCACACTTGTAATAGAGCTCAGAGAGGAGGGGAGAAACTAGGTTCGAGGACTGGAAAGGTAAAGTGTGGAGGTGGAAGAAAGGGAAAGCAAGGAGCAAGAAGATTTGAGCAATGTAGATTTTTTGGACTTCCTGAGAAGGAGAGGGGCGCGCGATTGGTATTAGGTGTCGTAGAGGTACTTCTTGTCGATACTGGGCTTGTGAGGAAAGGACGGCGAAGCATGTGAGGAAACAGACTGTGTTGTGTAGGGACTCAGAGCCAAGGACAAGCAAAACAGGTTAGATGCCGGATAGAAGTGGCTGTGGGAGGGGTTAACAACAGAGGAGGCTGCGAAGATGGGACCCCAGACAGTGGGGGGATGTTTTGGAAACACGAGATAAGAAAACACGGGGTGTCTCCCATTGGAGGCGGAGATGAGTAACTGCCATAGAATAAGGGAGACCTTCTGCCTTCTTTGAGGCTACGGATTTCACGTTTCATTTAACGTAGACCTGGCAACCAGGGGTCGTTCGAAGGGTGTGAGCTTCATTACACATTAAGGCATGATGGAGGTTGGATGCAAGATGTATTAGATTGGTCGTCCGGCGAGCCCATCGCACAGCTGGGCATTCGGCATAGTCTGCAATATTTCGGCTGAGGTAGTGACAAAAATGCCAGCAATTTCTACATTGTTGCGGTTGTAGGTATCACCTTTCGAACTTGTAACGATGTCCGTGACACTATACAGAGGTCGGAGTTCTCGGCTAGTCAAAAGTTAAAAGAGGCCCACATTGCAAGGGTAACGTCTTCCACCTCCCGGGCAGGAAGGACATAAGTGTTCTACTTTGAGGGGATTGGGAGATCCTGGAGTTTCCAGCTGTTCAAAAATGTCATTGCCTCATGAATGGAATATTTCTGTTTGGATTTTGGTATGGGGCAGAATGACAGTACCACTCTACAGAATTGAGAGAAGATGTTTTTTCAATAGCTGATAGGAGTAGTATCGATATTCGAAGGACGAGAAGAAATGGATCATGAGCTTGGGTAGCATTCTGGACATCAGTGTCGATGCACGTTACCGCTCTTGGAGAGCATGAAATGAAAGATCTATACAACATGGACGCAGGACGCTCTGCCAAAATACTATGGTCAGAACAGGTAGGCAGAAGAAGAAGTCGGTCTTAAAGTTAAAGAAATTTAGTCCATTGTCTGGTCCGATATGAGGTGGAGAGGGCCCGACAAGTGCTTTGACGTTGTCGGTCTTTTCGAGTAGATTGGGAAGCGTAACGAAGGAGCATCATCAGAGATTGATGTAGGCGGTTTTAGCGAGTAGGAACGGAGTTGGTACGGCGTGAAATGAACACCCGCGGGCCGATTCGAAATTTGCCATACCGCTAGAGGGGTAGATGCCGGGATGCATAGGTCAACGGAGAGCGGATTTTCAGACATAATTCGAAGGAGACAGTCGGAAAAGCCCCGCGTACCTGAATGCGGGGTGAGGAGGAAACAGCACAGCAAGAGTTACAGGGGCATCAGGTTGTTGCCGAAGGATAGTCTAAACACAAGGCAGGGTCAGAATGGGGGTGCGGTATCAAGAAGGGGCCCGGGGTGGGGGGGGGTAGTGGGTTCATGGAGTGGGTTCTCATGGGTTAGGTGACTTCTTTGCTTTTTGTTTTTAAGAAAAAAAAGAAAGACAGAAAAGAAATAAAAATAAAAAAAAGGAATAAAAAAGGGTGGGTGTGAGGGAGGAATAGTTTCCCCCCCCAGGAGGAATGAAAGGGCCATGAAATCTCTCCGCGCCCAAGAGGACCAGCCACCGTAGTAGCGCAGATGCAGCATGGAACCGTCGCATACCTTTCCCTTCATCTGCCAGCTAAACCATCAAATCCGGAGATGCACCTCACATCTGCACGAAGCTATACTCAGTGGACAAAACGACGAGGGCGGCCGGCCCGGATATCTGCCACAAAGCTTACCTCCTCGGCCACCACCCCCGGAATCCGAAAGGTGGCTTCCAGAGATTACACCTGTACGCACCGAAAGACACCAAAGCTACTCGGGATACGGGAGAGGGATCGGGACATCCCAGGCAATCCAGATTCCACGGGGCCAAACTACGCCACACCCTAGAAACCTCAACAGGCAATGGGAGGACCCGGTTGTCCTTTCCCCTACCTAGGAATAGCGCGGCCTGTGGGAGAAATCACGAAGGCCCAAAAAGAGGAAGGGACCAAAAGGGAGGGGTGGTGGGAGGAGGAGAGGGAATGGAAAAAGGGGAGGATGGGAGGATGGGATAGGGTGGAGGGAGAATGGGGGGTAATTAGGTTCGGTATGCGGAAAGAGGAAGACCGACAGGAGCTAATTCCTCAGGACCCAAGAGCCGCTCACCACGCAAGGAGCCCCCTTGATAGGTCAGCATTGCACAATATTGGCGAGTATGACTGGGGTTTGGGTGAGAGAGACGTATGTAGTGTTATGGCAGGTATATCTCCAGGGTAAACCAGCTCTAGATTGTGTGTGTTGTTTTGCCCAGGAACGATTTATGTGTTCCCGTTTTGTTTTTGGAACATTAGTTCAATTTTTATACCACCCTATTCACATGTCGGACATGTTTCCATACATCTACTGTCCATTCACCTAGCAGTGGGTACTTGGATGTTAGTCGACTCTAATAAATTTATTTAAGCACAGGTATACAGTACAATTATCATACGTAATGTAAATTCCTTATAATAAACCCAAAAAGTCATATAAAGTGATTTATTTGAATTGTGATCCTTGATATTTTCATTGGGGTCTTTGTGGGTCATATTCTGGGAGGATTGAAGGCCCACAAAGAAATAAGACACAGTCCCCGATGACGCACTAAATTTATTAGGTTATCCTCGGTCACTAACCTTCTGGGTTAATAATCCGAATAAAATCTTTGTAGCTCATAACTGTATCTCCCTGTGAGGTGTAGGTCTCGTCAACCAGCAATTCACGCAATTCGGTAATTATAATTATTATAATCGTGGGGAGTGTTAAACCCATAGGGATTATACAGCGCCTGTAGGGAAGTAGGGATGGAAGGTATTCAGGCTTAATTCAGGGAACCGGAGCACAGATCCAATTCCCTAGATCAAAAGCCTTCACCAGCGTCAAGGAACCTCCCTTGAGGGGTGATTTCGGTAGAACTTATAACGGCTCCTCCAGTGAGTCATCCCTTAAACCCAACAAACACCGAAATTACGAAGTGTATCTTTTGTGTCTATCATCTGTAATTCATTATTACTTCCATACCGCTGCTGTTACAGTTTTGGTCGTAGCTTTGAAATTTCACACCATTTTCCTTACAATAATTAAAAGAATGAAGCTTATTACACATAATATGTTGACCAGCAAAGGGATGAAAAACGTGATAGAAGGATTTCCGTTAAAGATACAGGTAATCTTCCACATTTCCTAACACACTTAATACAACCAGAAATGCTTGCCAGTAACATATCTAGGGCTGGTTTTGAGTCTTCCAAGCCTAGTCTATAAACTGTGAGGTTCCTTGATATAGATGAATGGCTCCTGAGCTAGGAAGTAAAGACCTGAGCTCTTAATTCCTTGACTCAACATTGAATTCCTTCAGTTACCTCCAGGCGCTGGTGAGGGGCTCTTGATCTAGGGATTTGGATCTGCGCTCCGGCTCCCTGAATTGAGCCTGCATACCATCCCCCTCACATGCCCTGTATAATCCTACGGGTTTAGCGCTCCCCCGTGATTATAACCTCCAGGTGCTGTATGACCACTACGGGTTTAGTGGTTCCCCATGAATGTAATATTAATATATTGTTTATAAACTGGCCACTCAAAACTAGGGATTCCCAGCCCATGATGATGCTTCAGGTCGCTTGTTCTATCTAGGCTGGAATATTGCTGCACACTAACAGCACCTTTCAAGGCAGGTGAAATTGCAGACCTAGAAAATGTACAGAGAACCTTCACGGTGCGCATAAATGAGATAAAACACCTCAATTACTGGGAGCGCTTGAAGTTCCTAAACCTGTACTCCCTAGAATGTAGGTGGGAGAGATATATGATTATGTACACTTGGAAAATCCTAGAGGGATTAGTACCAAACTTGAACACGAAAATCACTCCCTATGAAAGCAAAAGACTTGGCAGACGATGCAACATCCTGCCAGTGAAAAGCAGGGGTGTCACTAGCATGTTAAAAGAACACAATAAGTGTCAGGGGCCCAAGACTGTTCAACTGTCTCCCAGTTGTCTTCAAGTAGGCACTGGACGAAGCACCTAAAGTCAGTACCTGACCAGCTGGGCTGTGGTTCGTATGTTGGATTGAGTGTGGCCAGCAGTAACAGCCTGGTTGATCTGACCCTGATCCACCATGAGGCCTGGTCACAGGCCGGGCCGCAGGGGCGTTGAACCCCGGAGCTCTCTCCAGGTACCTGATGTGGCGTGAATAGTCTTTAACAAACTACAATATTTGATAGCTACAGAGCGAATAGGCACTAATGATTTCTGACAGGAAATTATTATTATGGTGGAGTGCTAAACCCAAAGGGATTACACAGTGCCTGTTGGAGGGAGATGGAAAGCATTTAGGTAATTGGCGGCCTGGCCACAGACCAGGGTGTGGGGGCGTAGAACCCTGGAACTCTCTCCAGGTAAATAGTAGATCAAATTCCCTAGATCAAGAGTCCCTCACCAGCATCAAGGAACCTCCTTTGAGGGATTCTGACAGGAAAAAGAAAAAATCACATTTTACAGATGGTTGTAATACTTGTTATTCTTGGTGTTTCAAACCATATCTAAATTGTCTGGTGGCAAATCTGATTTTGAATCATTGACAGCGAGTTATCTAAGCGGCAGGTTCGGTGACTTGATAAAATATAACTGCATTACCCAACAAAATTTAGGTTTAGGTTAGGTCAGTTCCTGCCAATAGGTTTACTAAATTTATATGTGGGAAAAACTTATTCACTACTAGGAAAATGTCTCAGATTTCTGACCAATCTACATAATTTACACAAGTTACTATATATGATAATCTGTATAACTGTATTTATGTGTATAGTGGAACCTCAAAAATCGAACTGCTCCCAACACGACCAATTATGTAAGTGTATTTTTGTAAGTGCTTTTATAAGTGTATTTTTGAGGGTCTGAAATGGACTAATCTAATTTACATTATTCCTGATGGGAATAAATTCATTCGGTAAAGGCACTCGAACAGCCTTCTGGACCGAAGAAAGTTCGATATTTGAGGTTCCACTGTACCTGTTCCTAAATGAACTTACGACTTGGCAATTTTGGAGAAATCACTGACATTCCATATACTATATCATAATATTGAGTTAGATAAAGGAGTAAGAGATTAGCCAATTATCACCACTATAAATACAGTGGACCCCCGCATAACGATATTAATCCGTTCCTGAGAGCTCATTGTTATGCGAAATTATTGTTATGCGAATTAATTTTCCCCATAAGAAATAATGGAAATCAAATTAATCCGTGCAAGACACCCCAAAGTAGGAAAAAAAAAATTTTTACCACATGAAATATTAATTTTAATACACACAAACTGAAAAAGACATGCACAGTTACATGACACTTACCTTTATTGAAGATCTGGTGATGACTGATGGAATGGGAGGAGGAGAGAGTCTTAGTGTTTAGAAGGGGAATCCCCTTCCATTAAGACTTGAGGTGTCAAGTCCTTTTCCGGGGTTACTTCCCTTCTTCTTTTAATGCCACTAGGACCAGCTTCAGAGTCACTGGACTTCTGTCGCACAACATATCTGTCCATAGAGGCCTGTACCTCCCGTTCCTTTATGACTTTCCTAAAGTGGTTCACAACATTGTCAGTGTAATAGTCACCAGCACGGCTTTCAATAGCTGTGTTAGGGTGATTGTCATCAAAAAAGGTTTGCACTTTAAGCCACATTGCACACATTTCCTTAATCTTTGAAGTAGGGCAACTTCTTCAATTTCTCTCTCCCCTCCTCCGAAGCAGTTTCCTCAGGTGTGGCCTCATGCTGATGAAGATGATCTAGCAGCTCATCAGTGGTTAGTTCTTCATTGTCCTCCTCCACCAGCTCTTCCACATCATCCCCACTAACCTCCAACCCCAAGGACTTTCCCAATGCCACAATGGATTCCTCAACTGGCATAGGATTCCCAGGGTTAGCCTCAAACCCTTCAAAATCCCTTTGGTCTACACATTCTGGCCACAGTTTCTTCCAAGCAAGTTCAAGGTCCTCTTAGTCACTCCTCCCAAGCCTTACTATAAGGTTTACACAATTGAGGATATTAAAGTGCTCTCTCCAAAACTCTCTTAGAGTCAATTGAGTTTCTGAGGTCACTACAAAGCACCTTTCAAACAGAGCTTTTGTGCACAGTTTTTTGAAGTTTGCAATAACCTGCTGGTCCATGGCTGCAGGAGAGGAGTGGTATTAGGAGGCAAAAACTTCACCTTAATGAAGCTCATGTCCCCACAAAGTCACTCTGCCACGTCTGTAAGGATGACCAGGGGCATTGTCTAACACCAGGAGGCACTTAAGGTCTAATTTCTTTTCAGTTAGGTAATTTTTCACATTGGGGCAAATGCTTGGTGTAACCAGTCATAGAAAAAGTCCCTAGTGACCCATGCCTTACTGTTTGCCCTCCACAGCACACACAAATTAGCCTTGAGGATATTCTTTTGCCTGAACACTCTGGAGTTTCAGTGTGATACACTAATAAAGGCTTCACTTTGCAATCACCACTAGAATTGGAACACATGAGAAGAGTAAGCCTGTCTTTCATAGGCTTATGTCCTGGAGTGCCTTTTCCTCCTGAGTAATGTAGGTCTGCTTGGCATTTTCTTCCAAAACAGCCTGTTCATCACAATTAAACACTGGTTCAGGTTTCAGTCCTTCACTGTCTATGTACTCCTTGAATTCCTGCACATATTTTTCAGCTGCTTTGTGGTCCGAACTGCAGCCTCACCATGCCTTATCACACTATGTATGCCACTACGCTTCTTAAATCTCTCAAACCAACCTTTGCTGGCCTAAATTCACTCACATCATCACTAGTTGCAGGTATTTTTTTAATTAAATCCTCATGCAACTTCCTAGCCTTTTCACTTATGATCACTTTGAGAGATGCTATCTCCTGCTATCTGTTTTTCATTTATCCACACCAATAAGAGTCTCTCAACATCTTTCTATCACTTGCGATTCTCTGTTTCGAAAACCAGTTGAACCTTTGGCAAACAGCTTCCTTGATTGCCGTTTTCTTGGACACAATAGTAGCGATGGTTGATTGGGGTTTACTATACAACCTGGCCAGCTCGGAGACACGCACTCCACTTTCATACTTAGCAATGATCTCTTTCTTCATCTCTATATACAGTGTAATTCTCACCCTTATTCCTGTAGGGTTGCATCTAGAAGCTTTCTTGGGGCCCATGGTCACTTATTTTGCAGATAAAATCACCAAAAACACTGTAATAATACGAAATGTTCCGATTGTATGCTTGGATGTTACCGCGGAGGCTGGCTGGTAAACAATGCCACCGGCGGAACATGTGAGGCTGGCTCAGGCCGCACATTAGACGCGTCTCGGACGAATAGCGTTGAGCGGGTTTTTTAGCGGTATGCGAGGCAAAATCTTAGCGATAAAATGTATTGGTATGCGGATTTAACGTTATGTGATGCCAACGGTATGCGGGGGTCCACTGTATGTCCTAGTCTAGTCTCGTATAACATTTCATCTAGCCATTGCAAAGTGAGAATACAATCTTGAGATTATAGGTGATAACAGTTTGTTTGCACACTGAGGATACATACTGAGGGACAGGGTTTGATCCTCGTCATGGGTGGAAACGATGGATATGTTCTCATATGCCTGCTCCTGTTCACCTAGCAGTAAGTTGATATTGGGTGTTAACTGACTATTGTGTGGTTGCATCCTGGAGGAGAGTATTAAAGGATTCGAATAGAAATAATAGTCCTCGATGACAAACTGACTATTGGGTTATCTTGGGTTAATAAAACGAACAGATTCATCATCAACAACAATTAAGCAATTTGCCATTTCCTGTGGGTTTATTTGGATGTGCCTAAATGGTTCAGTAAGTTTTACTTTATATATATTTAGGTATAGTATTACATAAGTTTAATTTTTAACAGTAGTATTATGGGTAAACAAGTGTTATTGGCATGCATGCACATGCGCGCACACACACGTCGTGTCGAATAGGTAAAATTGGTCAATTAGCAAGAATTCATTTAAAATTAAGTCCTTTTTAAAATTTTCTCTTATATGTTTAAAGATAGTTCCTTTGTATAAAGGCAAAGGGGACAAAAGAGAGTGCAAAAATTATAGGGGGATAACTCTGTTGAGTATACCTGGTAAAGTGTATGGTAGAGTTATTATTGAAAGAATTAAGAGTAAGATGGAGAATAGGATAGCAGATGAACAAGGAGGCTTTAGGAAAGGTAGGGGGTGTGTGGACCAGGTGTTTACAGTGAAACATATAAGCGAACAGTATTTAGATAAAGCTAAAGAGGTCTTTGTGGCATTTATGGATTTGGAAAAGGCGTATGACAGGGTGGATAGGGGGGCAATGTGGCAGATGTTCCAGGTGTATGGTATAGGAGGTAGGTTACTAAAAGCAGTGAAGAGTTTTTACGAGGATAGTAAGGCTCAAGTTAGAGTATGTAGGAAAGGGAGATTATTTCCCAGTAAAAGTAGGCCTTAGACAAGGATGTGTGATGTCACTGTGGTTGTTTAATATATTTATAGATGGAGTTGTAAGAGAAGTAAATGCGAGGGTCTTGGCAAGAGGCGTGGAGTTAAAAGATAAAAGAATCACACATAAAGTGGGAGTTGTCACAGTTGCTCTTTGCTGATGACACTGTGCTCTTGGGAGATTCTGAAGAGAAGTTGCAGAGGTTGGTGGATGAATTTGGTAGGGTATGTAAAAGAAGAAAATTAAAAGTGAATACAGGAAAGAGTAAGGTTATGAGGATAGCAAAAAGATTAGGCGATGAAAGATTGGATATCAGATTGGAGGGAGAGAGTATGGAGGAGGTGAATGTATTCAGATATTTGGGAGTGGATGTGTCAGCGGATGGGTCTATGAAAGATGAGGTGAATCATAGAATTTATGAGGGGAAAAGGGTGAGCAGTGCACTTAGGGGTCTGTGGAGACAAAGAACTTTGTCCTTGGATGCAAAGAGGGGAATGTATGAGAGTATAGTTTTACTAACGCTCTTATATAGGTGTGAAACATGGGTGATGAATGTTGCAGCGAGGAGAAGGCTGGAGGCAGTGGAGATGTCATGTCTGAGGGCAATGTGTGGTGTGAATATAATGCAGAGAATTCGTAGTTTGGAAGTTAGGAGGAGGTGCGGGATTGCCAAAACTGTTGTCCAGAGGGCTGAGGAAGGGTTGTTGAGGTGGTTCGGACATGTAGAGAGAATGGAGCAAAACAGAATGACTTCAAGAGTGTATCAGTCTGTAGTGGAAGGAAGGCGGGGTAGGGGTCGGCCTAGGAAAGGTTGGAGGGAGGGGTAAAGGAGGTTTTGTGTGCGAGGGGCTTGGACTTCCAGTGGGCATGCGTGAGTGTGTTTGATAGGAGTGAATGGAGACAAATGGTTTTTAATACTTGACGTGCTGTTGTAGAGTGAGCCAAAGTAACATTTATGATGGGATTCTGGGAAACCGGCAGGCCGGACTTGAGTCCTGGAGATGGGAAGTACAGTGCCTGCACTCTGAAGGAGGGGTGTTAATGTTGCAGTTTAAAAACTGTAGTGTAAAGCACCCTTCTGGCAAGACAGTGATGGAATGAATGATGGTGAAAGTTTTTCTTTTTCTGGCCACCCTGCCTTGGTGGGAATTGGCCAGTGTGTTAATAAAAAAAAATGTGTAAAGATATATTTTTTTTCACTTACGTTAATGTAAAAATTAATCTTGTACCAAAAGAACCTTAGAAAACTTACCTAACCTTGTTATAACAAGCCCAATTTAATTTAGCCTAATTCAACTAAATGTATATTAGATAAGTTTATAATAATTTAATAAACAAACACAATGAAATATATTTTTTTAGTTAGGTTTAGAATGATTTTTGTGAAATTATTGCCTACACAAATTTTCGCTTGCCTTACTCGGCAAGAAGAGCATTGCTATTTAGCCCAAAATTGCAAGTTTTACCTATTCTGCACGACACATATATATATAGTACATTATGGTAGCCCATTAGGATAGCCCATTTAAATCATTATTACCATTGAGGTCCTCGGTTAAATAGCTGTCTGTACGTATTTTACACTAGCCATGTATTTTTTTTTTTAGTATTTTCACAAAGATGACAAAAGTAGTTTTTTTTATTACATTAGCCTTGTATTTTATTTATTTTTTTCACAAAGATGACAAAAGCAGTTTTTTATTAACACAAATAGATACCAAATAATGATCATTGTAACAAAAATCATTTGTTTTCCTTTGTAGGCAGAGGAAGTACGAAATGTAGACATTGAATTTGACCGAGAGTTCATCTCCAGAATGGTTCCTAAGCTTGACTGGAATGCCCTTATATTTGCTGCACAATGTGTAAGTTGTCATTTATTGACATTTACAAAGTTTCATTATTGGCATTTAATAATAATACTAGTAAGACTAAACCTAATAATATCTAATGAAAATAATAATAATAATGTTCAATAATAGTATTTATGAATATATTCAGGGAAACCAGTTAGACTATAGATCTTCCAGAAATGAGAGGTACAGTACCTGCACTCTGGAGGGGTGTGGATATTGCAGTTCAGAGAACCATCTGAACTATGATGTCTGTGCCTTTCTGGCAAGAGAGTGATTGAATGAGTAATGTAAAAGTGTTTCTTCATTTTTGGGTAACCTGTTTTGGTGGGAAATGCTCGGTGTGTTAAAAACAATAATAAATATACAGTGGAACCTCAGTACTAGAACTTAATTCGTTCCAGAAGGCTGTTCGAGTACCGAATTAATTTTTCCCAACCAATTTTCTTTTTGGTTGGCTGTTATCACTAATCTTTGTAGGCCCCATGGTGACTTATTTACAAATAATATAAAAAAACACCAAAAATGTGAAGAAACATGAAATAGTTTACAGTGAAGCTCTGGCAGGTTGTGTTTGTTTGGTCGAGTGCTGAACAAATGACTGAACAAAGCATTCATATATGTACTGAATTATTCGAGTACCGAGGTTCCACTGTAAAGCTTCGATTTAATGGACTTCAGAAATATAGGACAAAATCGGCTGGGTCAATGGATTATGAAAGAACATTAAAGTTCGTTGATTACAGAATTGACTGTTACTGATATGATCATGGCAAAATAATCCCATCTCTATCCACCACAATTGTCATTATCAGTCACCTGGTCTTATCTGTTAGTCCATTAAATCTATGGTTACTGTTAGGATAATTTTTTTTTCTACCGTGTAAGTGTAGAAGTGATACAGATTTTGAAAGAAGCTTATTGCATGTACAGCATTTTCTGGCAGACTTAAGGCTAAAACTACTTAATAATAAAAAGTGTTATATATGGTTGTGAAATTGTTTAATAAGCTTGTGAGTTCAGTACAGGATAATGACATGTAAAATCTGGTCACAGTTTACAACTAAAAAGAATTAGTTGGTAATATTATTAAATTATGCACAAATCAAAATTTATAGTTGGATGGGTAGGATGGAATGCATTGGTAATAATAGTGATGCAATGAAAGTTGAAGGTAGGTAGTAAATAAAAAAGAAATTGGGGCAGGATTAAAGAAAAGGGATACACAGTGTAATTAATAAGGTATCAGCAAAATGTAATAACTTCATAGGAATTAAAGAAATTTGTTGATAAAAATTTGTTTTTAGTGAATTAGTATATAGAATTTGGTTATTTAGGCACAGAAGAGTACAGTATATTGGAATTTTTCAATTCATATAATAAACTATTCCACATTTTTAGTACTGTACTTTAATTTTCATAGAATTTAAAAAATGTTCAGATTAACATGAGGGATATCAATGAGGTATATTTGCTTCCACTGTGCTTTGTTAAAATTTTCCAGGAAATGTCTTAGGTGAACATCAACATCAGTGTAGCTTCTCTAAGATGTGAACAGTAACATAACAGCTTATTTCTCTGTGTTCCTTCTGTATATACTTATTTACATCCTCCTTTATTCTTATGAATACAAATATCGATCCTGACATTAACCTCTTATTAAACTGCACAGATGATCCTGACAGTAATTGCCATTACTACACTGCTAGTCAGGCTAAAACTCAACTCAGTGCCAGCAAGAACATAACAATTTTTGACTACAGTGTTAGATTATTGAGTAAACACTGTGATGACCTCCTTGCACTACTGAAGTCTCTAAATGCTGCTATAACTTTCATTATTCTTACTGAAACCTGGCTCAAACAAGATTTGACGGACATATTTACCATACCTGGTTACACAGCCATACATAACTGCAGGCCTGACCAACTAGGAGGAGGAACTGCTATCATCTACTATGATGAACTGGAATGTATGAAATTTACTTGCACAAGGGACGACAATGGTGAATATTTAATAGCTAAATTCGCATCAAAAAACTAAAAAAAAAAAAAAAAACTATAACACTTGGAGCAGTCTACAGATTACCACACACAAATACTTACACTTCTAGTGGTAACCTTAAAAACATGATAACTAACTCAAGAGCTGAATAAACACCACCTGATACTTACAGGAGACTTCATCATAAACCTCATCCATGCAAGTAACCCTCCAGTAGTTGATTTCACAAACACTATGAACAACTGCTTGCTACTACCTTTTATAACTAAGCCAACAAGAATCTCTGAGACAAGTGCTTCATTACTTGACCATATCTGGACCAACGGGATATCTCCACTAGAAGCAGGTATAATCACAGACAACACTACAGACCACTACCCCACCTTTCTCATAACCAACTTATGTAAACTGCCTCAAGACTCGAGAAAGATCTCATTTCGCCTGCATGATGAGTCATAAGTAAATAATATAATATTAGCAGTAGGTGACATTGATTGGCAGAGAGAGCTGGCTGACAGCAATAATATTGACAAAGATGTCAAAACATTTTTACATAAAACCCAAAACCTTTATAATGTGCATTGTCCGATCAAAATGAAGCAGATCACAGTAAAGACTAAACAGCCCATAGCTAACAAATAGTATCCTCAAATCCATTGATAAAAAGCACCAATTTGAAAAATTGTTCATATTAGGCCTGATTACTAAAGACATGACATTAGTACCCATAAAACTAATATGAAAATAAGAGCAAATGAATTTTGAAAATAGATTTATTGAAATAAAAAGTGATACGAAAAGGACCTGGCAAACCCTCTCCAAAATTTTGGGCTCTAGAAAACTGTCTAGAAACAGAGAGAGAAACTTAAAACCAAATGAACCTCACATACAGCCTTTAGATATGGCCAACAAACTTAATGTCTTCTTCTCTACTGTAGGATCAAAGCTAGCAAGCAAAATTCAAAGTTCAAATACTCAGCTGAAAGACTACCTCACTGGCTACTACCCAAATATTCTATATCTAGCTCCATCTGATTCTAATGAAGTCTTACTCATCATTAAAAAATAAAGCAGGAGATCTAAATAACTTGCCACCATTCATATATAAAAAAGCAGCTCATGTCCTGTCACCCATTATTGCAACACTGTTTAACAAATCTGTTGAGTCCTCAACCTTCCCATCCACTCTTGAGTAAGCAAGGGTTACCCCGATCCTCAAAGGAGGTGATCCAAGTGATCTGAACAACTATAGACCTATATCAAACTTGCTCTTACTGTCTAAAATATTCGAACAAATAATACACAAATGACTTTACTCCTACCTTATATCCAACAACATACTTAACACATGCCAGTTTGGGTTTAGACCAAAAAAAGTACAAATGATGCTATTATACAAATGTTTGAACTAATATATACAGTCCTCGATGAAAATGAATATCTACTAGGGGCTCTTCACTGACCTATGGAAAGCATTTGAAACAGTGGACCACAATCTCCTGCACCTAAAACTAAATCATTACAACACATCAGAGGACATTCCCTTGATTACCTAAAATCATATCTTAACGATAGACACCAGTACGTATATGCAAATGGAGTCAACTCCACTATCCAGCCTGTAGCTTTCAGAGTGCTCCAGGGTAGTGTCCTAGGCCCACTCCTCTTTCTGATCAACATCAGTGATCTCCCCAGTGCATCTCGACTCCTTAAATAAGTTCTATTCGCAGATGACACTACTTATGTCTACTGCCACTCAAACCCAGCTATACTTAGAGACACTGTAAACAATGAGCTACTAAAAATATATATGTGGATGATGACTAACAAACTCACTCTCAACACAAGATGAAACATACTTCATACTGTTTGGAAATGCCTTAAATATCCAACTTAATATATCGATAAATGGTTCCCCTATTACAAGACACACTGAGGCTAAATTTCTAGGTCTTCTACTTGACAATAATCTTAAATTTCATTCCCACATCCAGCATATATCCAAGAAAATTTCCAAATCAGTAGGCATCCTTTAAAAGATATGATACTATGTACCCCAAACGACACTCCTTACCCTATACCACTCTCTAATATGTATATCCCTACCTCACCTGTGGTATTTGTGCCTGGGTATCAACTACAGCCAACCACCTTAAACCTTTAATAACCCAACAAAAAGCTGCTGTGCAGATGATTACCAGCTCCTGTGCCAGACACAACAACTCACTACTTTTCAAAAGCCTGAACCTACTAAATATGAGACATACACTCATATTATTGTGCCTACTACATATACAGAACATTAAACTCCAATATAAACCCTCCACTTAAACTTCCCCTTGATATCTACAACAGAATGCACAATCACAATACAAGGCACAAAGCACTCTTCGATATCCCTCATATCAGTCTCACAGTATGCAAAAAATGCAATGCAGATAAAGGGCCCGAAGATCTGGAATTCACTACCTGAACCGGAAAAGGATCCCATGACTACCTACAAATTTAGGGCTGTGCATAAAAATCATCTCATCTCTCAATACTAACCAAAACAACTGATCAGTTTGAAGCAACTCTCCCAAATATATTATATGACCTCTAGTTTATTAAACATCTGCCAATCCATGAAATACATATGTATTACTGTCTGGACCATTAATTGTAATATTGTTTTTATTATGTGCAACTTCAAGATTATTATTCTTATAAACCTACACCTTGACTACCTTGCATTAGTATTAAGATAAAATAAAGATTTATTAAAAAGTTAACCACTCTTATCTTGTCTAGATTTACGTAGTTATTATGTACTAGGATTAGTCTGCCTGAAATGCCCTGGCATGATAGCGGCTTTCTTTGTACTTAACAAACCAAAATTGTGATTACACATTGTAAACTTTGCAAAGAAATAAAATCTTTATTCTTTAAGGCATTTATATTTACAGTACATATTGTATATTGAAGGTATCCTACATGGAATATATGTTGTTCCTTGATGGCTTTTTTTTTTTTTTTCCTAATATACAATACAGTACTGACTGAATGTTAATGAAGTAAAAATAGTTTTTATTATACTTCAGGTGGGTCACCAGGAGGACTTGCCTGAGATTTTGCCTGAAGGATATGAAAATGATGATGACTTACTGAAGAAGCTACATCACATTCTTTTGGAAGTAAGAGTCTCAGGATAAGAGTGGGTTTAATACAGTAGTGCCTCTGCATTTGCTACATCTTTATTTGTGAAAGGGGTCAGCTGTGGCATCCAGAATTGTCACTGTAGTTACTTCACTGCTGTGGGGAGTAGCAGTCGGAGCAGCAGCAGTGGAGTGATGATCTCCGGCCTTCCCTCCTCTAGTAGACAACATTATTGCACTCTCATGCATAGATAATAAAGTTATATTGCACAGATAATCTGGATGTTTCGTGGAATGTTATTGTTTCTTATTAGTGAGAGAGGGTGTTTGGGTTTGCAGCAGCTGCCCAGTCAGTAGTACATACTGGTGGTGATGGCCAATGCATTCACTAACTTCCCCCTCCACTATACTGCTTCAGGGTTAGTAGTATATACTAGTGGTGATGGCCAATGCATGCACTAGCTGCACACTCCACTATACTGCTTTGGGATTCAAGATTGCTAAGGCTTTTTCCATAATTGCATGATCTCCAGGAATGTAACCCCCACAAATATAAAGGCTCTACAGTATTTGTTTATGGTATTAATTTTCTTGGAAATTGAAAATTTTATTTAATGTATTGTATACATACAGTGGACCCCCGCATAACGATCACCTAAGAATGCGACCAGTTATGTAAGTGTATTTATGTAAGTGCGTTTGTTTGTATGTGAATGTTTGGGGGTCTGAAATGGACTAATCTACTTCACAATATTTCTTATGGGAACAAATTCGGTCAGTACTGGCACCTGAACATACTTCTGGAGAGAAAAAATATCGTTAACCGGGGGTCCACTGTATTAGGTTTTTTATTAGTACTATGCAAATATTGTACACAGTTGCTTATAACTCGCTCAAATGTTTCTTTAAATTTTGTACTAGTATGTAAGAATCTTTTTTTTTTTTTTTTTTTTAACCAGCCGTATCCCACCAAGGCAGGGTGGCCCAAAAAGAAAAACGAAAGTTTCTCTTTTTAAATTTAGTAATTTATACAAGAGAAGGGGTTACTAACTCCCTTGCTCCCAGCATTTTAGTCGCCTCTTACAACACGCATGGCTTACGGAGGAAGAATTCTGTTCCACTTCCCCATGGAGATAAGAGGAAATAAACAAGAATAAGAACTAGAAAGAAACAGAAGAAAACCCAGAGGGGTGTGTATGTATATGCTTGTACTTGTATGTGCAGTGTGACCTAAATGTAAGTAGAAGTAGCAAGACGTACCTGAAATCTTGCATGTTTATGAGACAAAAAGCTGTATAGCCCTTGTGGCTTAGCGCTTCTTTTTGATTATAATAATAATATGAGACAAAAAAGGACACCAGCAATCCTACCATCATGTAAAAAAATTACAGGCTTTCGTTTTACACTCGCTTAGCAGGACTGTGGTACCTCCCTGGGTGGTTGCTGTCTACCATCCTACTACCTATAGAATCTGCTTATATGTACTATTATTTTTTCTTGTTATGTGTGGATATTCTGTACTAGATCATTTCACAGCTGTGTATTTTATTAGTATTAAATAGTTTAAATCTGTTAAAAATGTTGTACATACCCTGGGCATTCACAAAAACTGTTTTGGGTTTGCACTTTTTTTTTTATTTTTTTTAAGTAAATATATTGTATAGCATGTGCCATAAAAGACAACTAAAATGCTGGGAGCAAGGGGCTGCATAAATTACTAAATGTAAAAACGAAAAAAACTTTCTTCTTTTTCGAGTTGCCCCCCTGCCTTGGTGGGAGATGGCTGATGTGTTAAAAAAAAAAATACATCAACTATAACTTCCTTTCACTCTAATACATGTTCTCCATACTTCTGCCCTCATATTAGCACCCTCTTACCATGCAGCATTTCTTATGAAATAATAATCAACTGATTTTAATTTATTAGAATAGTACACCGAAAAAAGATGCTTTGTTCACTAAAAAAACTATGACTACTTTTATATATTACAGGTGGAAGTTATCAATGGATGCCTCGAATGCCCAGAAACAAAAAGAAAGTTTCCTATCAGCAATGGAATACCAAATATGCTACTGAATGAAGATGAAGTGTAATACATGTTTAAATATGATGCATGAGCTGCAAATGGAGGACATATACCAATAAATTAGTATGCTTTTAAATAAAAGTACAAGACTATTTTGTGTGATTTCATTATTTTAAATCTAGATTATATACTAATAACAATTAGTATATAAAAAATTATAATACTGTAAATATTGATTATATTCAAGGTTGAGTGCTAGACCTGTAGGAGTTACACTTTTGGGAATCAGAGCAATGAAGTTTAATCACAGGAAATGGTGGCTCCAATTCCTTGGATCAAGAGTTCTTCATCATCATGGTATAAAGTAAATAACATCAATATTTTTTTTTTTTCTTTTAACAAACCAGCCGTATCCCACCAAAGCAGGGTGGCCCAAAAAGAAAAACTTAAGTTTTTCTTTTTAAATTTAGTCTTTTGTACAGGAAAAGGGTTTTCTGTCCCTTCCCCCCGGGCTTTTTTAGTGCCTTTTACAACATGCATGGCTTAGGGAGAAGAATTCTCTTATTTCCCCCATGGAAAATCGATAAATACATAGAAAAAAAAAATAATTGTAGGGGAAATTTTTTAGAGCAGGCTCTGCTTTAATAAAGGAATAATTTGTAATCCCCCTTAAGGGGGTACAGTACCTTCTGAGAGTGAGGGGCTGTTGCCCCAAAGGGAAATTTACCTATTTTCCCTTTTTTGAACCGGGCCCCTCCTATTCCGGGGCACTGTAGCCCCCTTACAAGTTAGTTTAGATTTTGCCCCCGAAGTGCCTAGTTTATTGGCACCCCATATCCATCCGTGGAGGGGACGCGAGAGCATATGGATCACAAAAGGCCTAGGAATAGGCCCCAAAAGGGTTAACAGGAATACATATATTTTATCTAAACTAAGTTCATTATCTGTTACAAGCAAATTTGGGAAATTTTGCTTAGTATATTGGGTATCTTATTTTCAAAATAAGAATCTTGCAGGTCCCTGGGTTTTATCTGTCTGTCTCTGTTTTTCCTAAATAAGGGCAATTAAGCACATAGTTTAAAGAGAGTGACCATATGCCTGATCCATAATTTACTTTTAGTTTGATCATCACGTGTTTTCCCCCAAACTGCCAAAGTATTGTAACCAACCCTAAGCCTGGCCACACAAAAACAGTCAGTCGTTCAATTGCAAGTTGCTCCAAAACATCTTATCTACGTTCATGTTTACAAGGGGTATAGACTCTCGGGGCTTTCTAACTGCTTCCTATAACAATCATTTTCTTTATTTATTTCTCTCCAAAAATTTTTCCAAATCTAGACACTTTACCAATTTAAAATTTTCTAATTCTCCTTTCGATCTCTTCTTGGCAAACATATAAACTTTATCATAAAGGAGTAACCCAAATGGTGAGGGGACCCATAGAAATTGTACATTAATTCCTTTGTCCCTAATTTTTGAGTATCTTTACCTGGTTTCCCCCAATGAGCATGTTTTTTGGATCATAATGAGCCAAGACCCTTCAATAAGACATAAAAACAGAAATGAATAGAGTCAAGCTCAGGTCATGGTTAGCTTTAGCCCCTTAGGATTGCAAACAATTCTTTTTTGAGTGTAGCGCCCAGTTTTTAATTCTTAGCCTAACTAAACAAATTTATTATCGTTTTAAAAACGGGGAGGGGCAACAAGAGCAAATAAAGCCCTGCCAGAAGACCCTGTTTAGATCCATCAGGATATAACTGTGATAATTTGTTACACCAGCTGGGGAAAATTTCTTCTGAGCAGTTGCTCTAAAAGAGTTTTAAGGGAAGGGTTTACTACAAGGCTTCGGGGGAGGGACTTGTAGGTATTAAATTTTAAATGAACACATCTTCCATGGAGGGGGAAATGCTCTTGTTGCCTACGTGAACAGTTCATGCAGGTTAAAAAATTTAAATGAAAATTGCACTTTTCACAATCCATTTAGATCTGTGTTTTTACCTCTAGATATTTGGTAAGATTCACGTGACAGTTCTGGTTCGTTTCTCAACATTCAAACCCGAGTACGGGTTTTTAATTTCAAAAAATCCTACCTGATATAAAATACCAACTCCTTCCCATTTTAAAGAATTTTTGTAGATCGGGGCACCCAAGAATAACCCTGAAGCTTCATTTTGCTTTAACCCAAGGGGTGGGAATTTCTCTAGCAAATAAAACAGGAGCAGCATAATAAATTTAAGGCCCTAACATAGGGTATGTACATCATTCTCACGATTCCACATTTGCACCATAGTTGGGGTTGTAGCCAGCGTGCTCACACATGAATATAATAATGCTTTGTTGCGGGTAAACGTCAAATTTTAAAGTGCATAATCTATTTAAAAGGGTATGAATTCAGGTATAATTAAAACATAATCGAGAGAACAAGCAAAAACCAAGCACTAAACCCCTAAGGGCAAAAATTTTTGAGGAAATTGCTTTTAATCAGTCTGCACCCAGGTAAATTATGTATATCCCGGGCTTCCTGTTTGTCTTGGATTACTTCCACCCGGATTTTTTCTTCACTTTGCAAGTTTTTTGCGTCCTTCTTGGGTCATTGTGTCGTATCCTCATGGGCGCTTATAGCACTTCTGACCTCCACAATTCAGTCCTCAAGCAGTTTTTATGTAATAATCGAGGGGTTTTTGATATCCCGGGGGTTTCTAAAAATTAAAGCGAGTATTTATCCTAGCTTCTCCTAAACTGAGAACGTTACCCCCCCCCCACTGTGGCCAGGACTGGTTAAAAGTAGTTAGGATCATAGTATCTAAATTAAACCCTCGCTCTCTTTGGCCACGGTAAAAAGCAAAAAAAAACAAAACAAATTTTGACATTATAAATGGTCCCCTTAGTCGCATCAAGCCTAAACACACTCGATATGAATACCAGTTGTACATACTTAAACCATTTTTGGGTATAAATGTCCCAGCTTCTTTGTGGTTTTCTATAGTTTCACTCTCTCCGGCTCAAAGCCTTGTTGTACCTCTTCTTAAAGCTGTGTGGATCTCTCCTCTCTCCCTTTTGTGTGTGTGTGTGTATGCGGGGGCGGGTTGTGAGTGAGTGTGAAAGAACGAATGAATAAATGTTTAGGTGCTCTTGAAATTATTTTACCAATCTTTCTTTTCTTTCAAAAAACTGGCCATATCCCACTGAAGCAGGGTGACCCAAAAAGAAAAACAAAAGTTTCTCTTGTTAACTCTAGTAATGTATACAGGAGAAGGGGTTGCTAGCCCCTTGCTCCCGGCATTTTAGTCGCCTCTTACGATACACATGGCTTACGGAGGAAGAATTCTGTTCCACTTGCCTATGGAAAATTTTTTCCCAATTTTTTTATTTTTTTTTTTTAAACAAGTGGGCCCGGGTTCTCCCCCCAGGCAGGGTGCCCCAAAAAAGAAAAGAAAACCCCCAAAAAGAAAATACTTTCAACATCTTTAAAACACTTTCCCCAACACTGGGCAAATTATCACTGTTTTTGCAGAGGTGTCAAAAAAAAACAGTTAAAAGGGCATACACATATAAAGATACCAACATATCCCCCCAAAACTGAAAATTTATCCCAAAACCCCTCCTTTAAATGCAGGCACGTACTTCCCTTTCCCCCAAGATCAAGCCCGACTATATGAAAAAAACCTTTTTCCCCTGAACCCCTTTTCCTTTAATATTCCCCTGCTCACACCCCCCAACAGATCGTCGGGCCCCAAAGTCCCATTCGCTCCATTAAATCCTATCTAACACCCACGCCGCTTGCTGGAAGCCCAAAGGGCCCCTTACCCCAAAACCCCCTTTTACCCCCCCCAAACCCTTTCGAGGAGCCCCCCTCCCCCGCCTTCCTTCCCCCTAATTTAAAAATGCTTTCCGGTCATTCTACTTTGACCTTTCTTTTTAAAATGACCAAACCCCCTCAAAAACCCCCCTCTTCTCCCCTCTGACTAATATTTTTTTAACTCCAAAACCTTCTCCTAATTTCCCACATTTTCCAAATTTTGCAAAATTATTTAAAACCACACATTCCCCTTAAAAACGGCCCATCTCCCTGCCCCCCAAACCGGGTCCCTTTCGTGCGGGCATTTACCACCCAAGCTTCAAAAACCCTTTAAAAGAGTGTTGGTACTACTTTACTTTCATACTTTTCCCTTTTTTTGCCCCCCAAAAAGATAACGTTTTTTAAACTCCACATATCCCCAACGCCCACTCCCCCTTTTTTTCCCCCCCATCAATTCTATGTTTAAACCCTCATCCTTCTTTAAAACCATCCGCCGACACGTCAACCCCCAAGTATTTTAAAAAACATTCACTTTTTCCCCATACCCCTCCCCCCCAAATTTTGTTTTCCCAAATTTTTTTCTTTATCTAAATATTTGACCCCCTCATCACCTTACTCTTTTCTATTTTTAAACTTTCAACTTTCTACCTTTACACACTTTCCCAAAAACTCACCCACAAACCCTTTGCAATTTTTTCTTTAGAACTCCCATAAGAAACGTATCTCAGAAAAAAGAAAACCTGGTAAAATTCCCCCTTTTTGAATTTGATTCCCCCATAATTTAACCCCACCCCTCTCCAAACCCCCCTACCCTTTTTTACTTCCTTTAAAAACCCCATTAAAATTATAAAACAACCATGGGGGACTTTAAACCACCCCTGTCTAAGACCTATTTAAAAACCCGGGAAGAGTTCCCTCTCTTCTACCCCCCTAACCTCCCCCACTATCCTCAAAAAAACCTTTTTAACGGGAAATTTAATAATTTCCCACCTTTTTCCATATACTTTGCAACATCTCCCCAAAATTGCCCCTCTATCCACTCTATCATATCCCTTTTTTCAAAAATCCATAAATGCAAAAAAAATTTTCCCTATCTTTATCTAAATACTTTTACATATATGTTTAAAATTTTAAACCCCTAAACTACACACCCCCTCCCCCACTCAAAAAAACCTCCTGCCATCCGCAACCCTCCATTCGTTTTGCCTCTAATTCTTTCAATTTTAACCACCGTACACTTTTCCCGGGTATACTCAGAAGCTTATTCCTCTAAAATTTTTTACAGTTTTTTTGCCCTTTTTTCCCCTTTTAAAAAAAAGGGACTAAACATGCTCTCTGCCAATCCCTAGGTAC